CCTCCCTGGGCAACCTATTCCGGTATTTAAGCACCCTCACAGTAAAGAAGTGTTTTCTTGTGTTCAAGTAGAATTTCCTGTGTTTCAGTCCATGCCCATTGCCTCTCAGCCTGTCACTGGGCACCACTGTGAAGAGTCTGGATCTATCTTCTTTACAGTCTCCGTTCAAATATTTACACGTATTAGTAAGATCCCCCCAGAGCTTTCTCTTTCCTAGGCTAAACAGTCCCAGCTCTGTCATCCTTTCCTAATTAAAATGTCAATTTGAGATCATTTGCTCTACCCAGTATAAATTTGCTCTAAGTGCAGACAAATATACTTGACCGAATGATGAACTCTCTCTGCTTTGTATGGAAACACCAGACGCTACACCTGAACAAGCCTGAACACAACAAAATATGCTTCAGGTTACTGCCATGTGTATGGAAGAAGTTTGACATGTCTTTGAAGGAGTAACACTAAAAGCACTACTACGAGTACAATATGATGTCTGTCTTTTGTTTTTCAGTTGCTGTCCTGTCCTCCCAAGAAACGCAAGCTTTCTCTATGAAGGCATTTAGGGGAAAGGATACAGTAAGATACGTAGCTACTCGGTTTTGGTTTGGACTTTGGGCTTGGCTGAGCACTCAGGGCTGAATATGAAACCCACCATCCCTTTATTTAAGAATTTCTGGAACGATAATCCTGGTCGGCAGAGGCTCTGATGTTGTGTTAAAATAGGTGTGTTCAGACTGTAGAAGACATAAAACTGTTTTGTGTTTTCAAAGGTCTGTAGCTCTTGGAGCTACAGCAAGGTGCAGCAAGATTTAACTCAGTATAAATAGATTCTTTGGCTAAAACTTGCTTTCTTTTCACATTATCCTCTATGAAACTTCAAGGCCAGAGAGACCAGCGGAGAACTTCAGAGGAGTAACCAGGAGCGCTTTTGAGGAAACAAGCACGCCATAAACATTATTACCAACATCCGCGGTGGATGTGTCAGAAGCTGTATTCCTAAGGGGCAACTGGAACCAGTTACTGTGCTGCTCCAAAGGTCACACTGGTCAGTTGGCACTGGCTACTGAGGGACACAAACCTCTGTCTGGCCTCTTAATGCTGACTGATTTCTGAACAATGCAGTCTAGCTGGCGGCAACTTGGCATCAGTCCAGAGGTCTGAGCCCTGAAACATGTCCCAGGGTTCTGGAGTGGGAAGCAATGACAGGCTTTCCCCAATTACGGGTGAAATCAGCACCTAGGTACACTCACACAATTAACTGTATAATTGGGTAACAGGTTGGGTTTTACAAACAGGGAAAACAGTTCTACAGTGGAATGAGAATAGACATTAGCAAAATTATTCTTCTTTAACTTGAGTCTTACTGATACTTACTAGATGTTTCACGAAAAATTCATCTAGAGCACTCTTAGGAAACTCTAGGAAATATCCTCTGCTCTGAGAAAGATGCATACTTCAGTTTTGAATCACAAGTTGGCAGTGATGTCACTTGCGTGTGTTCTTTTGGAAGAAGTGTACTTTTGGTTTTGTGTGAATATTTTGCCTAAAATGAAATGCCACAAAGTGCTTTGGGTTCTTCCTTTAAAAATGTGGTTGTGACAAATAGGAGATATCAGAATTATGGAAATAGTGATGTGTGCCAGATTGTACAAACGACCTTTTTATCTTTCAACACTTCTCAAGCATTATATACTTATCCATGGGTGTCACTCTCTTCCTTGAGACTGCTGTGTTGCTGGCATGTTTCCTATTCCTGGTCCTTGCTACACAGTCAAGAGCTTTCCTGGTTGTTGCTAGCTACTGGAAGACACTTCTTACTCTGAACCCTCCTATGTCAACAACTCTCAGACTAGCTCATGCAGCTTAATCTCAAACCTTGCTGTTACTCCTTGGGTATTGTGGAACAAAGTATTAGGCATATAAACATTTGGAGCACTCCAATATGCTATGTCTAAAGACTGCTATAGCCTATGAAATGAAGCGTCCCAATATTAGCCAGTCACCTTAAAATCACCCTTGACCCAAAAACAGTTCAGGTAAAAGCAAATAAAAGTATTCCTTTCCACAGCTAAAAGAGACATGATAGCTTGCAAAGGCTTATAAACATGCTGGGCAACAGGAATATAAATTTACTCATCTAGCGCATAGAGGTTTCTCTCACCCTTTGTATGCTAGCTAACAAGCATTTCACAGCTTTCCTCTTAGAGGACTCCATGGCTAAAGCAAGCTCTTCATCCTAATATTGTCTCCATGGAATGAGAACCCCTTCTTTCTTACAATTACTGTTAACGAAACCAAGAGGGAAGGGATTTAGCCCTTCTACCTAAAAAAGCTCAAGCTTCCCCTTTGGGTAAACGTTCTGTGAGTCTGGAACAGAGGATCTCATCTACCAGATAATCAGTTAAAACATTAATTGCCACATTTTTTTGCAAACCCTTAACAAGCTGACATTCCCTTTACATTAGTTTGGGAATTGTTCGAACCCCAAAGTGAAGCTTCTTCTTACATTTTGTTTTTGTAATGCATATTAACATGTATGCTTACTTTATCCAGCATGTAAATAGAATTAATGCATGTGGCTCTTTACAGGGTTTTGGATAAGAGCAGACATACGGATGTGCAATCACCCAGAGTACCTTCCTGTCCTGTCCTCGAGGAGTGACTAAAAGTGAATCTGTGGGAACCAAACTCAAGGAGGAGAAGGCACTGAATTAAAAACAATGGGCAAGGAAATAACTCCCCAGAAATCTCTCCCTGTCTGGAAAAATTTACATTTCTGTGTTTGAACATGTTTAATTTGACCCCCACAGAAAAGTGAGAACTATATAAAGTCAATGGGCTAGTACAGAAGGAAGAGACTATTGTCTGAAAAAGCCGTACTGTGTCTCAGTTGAAGGGACAGCTGACCAAATCAGATTAAAAGTAAACACTTAAGTGACTGAAGGTGAATAAGGCTCTGCTTCAACTGGAGAAGTTGAGCAACTTCAGGCCATGGGGTAAGGGATTAGTTGCACAGGGCACTCATATTTCTGTCCTGAATAGCCCGGACAGAACTGGGAGTCCATGTACTACGACTCATCACATGAGTGAGGCGTCTGATTCACCACGAGCTTGCTTCCTTTGTGCCATGCAGGTCCCCTGTGCACGTGTAGGCACGTCCAGCATCATCTGGATGCTTCAAGGTGCATGGGCAGAATCCACTTGATGGAGAACTTCAAATAGCTTGGCCTGCCTTTCAGCTAAGCTGCTAAACGGGTGTTAGCCCCTCGTCTGGATCAGACCTAACAAACCCAGCGGGTCGAGCAGGTAACAGAGAGCACCACGCGCTTTGCCGGGTCAGTGGTTGCCCTGAGCCGCCCGAAAAGGTGTGAGGGAAAACTGGCACCCCTGCAGTGCTGGAGCCAAGGGAGAACGGCTCCAGGGAGAACCGCCACCAGGCGTGAGGGGAGAAGGCAGCGGCTTCCCCCCGGGCAAAAAAAAGGATGCCTTAAACCCCTCCGGGGGTGTGAGGGGAGGCCAGCCAGGCGCAGGCGGGCTGCC